TAAAAAGTAGCCCATATCATTGCTGATGTCTCTGGGATACCATTGTCTCTGTCTTCTTGGTACTTACAGCTTGACCGATGCCCTTTGTGAGCAGCATACTTCTCTGATCCATGTTGACTATCCCATTTGGAACACTTGTCTTTATGGTTATGACAAGGACAAAATATTGTTGTTGTAGTACAACATGCTGTCTCCTAATGTTTTTCCATGTGGCTGCTGTAGCACCAATGAGGTACTGCTGTATCTGTGAATGAATTCAGGGCCAGGTAAAATGGGATTAGGATTATTTAATATTTTCATTATCATAGCACCAAGAAGCCCTAGTCATGGACCAGGACCCCATTGTGCTAGGCAGTCCCTGTCCCAAAGAGCTTACAATCAACGTATAAGACAAGAGACAACAGATGGATACAGACAGACGGGGGGAGCACAAGGAAACAATGTGACAGTATTGGTCAGCATAATAGGCAGTGGTCTCAGCACCACCAGCAGCCACTGTCCAGTTTTTTGTAGGCATCACAGCAAAGGAGAGTTTTAAGGAGGATGTTTACAGGAAGTTCCTCACAACTCTGAGGGACAGCATGAGAGAAAGCACAAAGGTGCTTGTTATATTTTAAAACAGTAAGGACAAAGGCACAGTACTCCACTTAGGAAGGAATAATCAGTTGCACATATACAAAATGGGAAAAGACTGCCTTGGAATGAGTACTGCAGAAAGGAATCTGGGGGTCATAATGGATCACAAGCTAAATATGAGTCAACAGCTAAGTTCCCTCTAAGCTGCGCAGCCACCCAGCAGTCTATCAAGGGCCACACACTTCAGTTGCCCCTCCTCCACCCCGCCACACTGCTCCTGCGCTCTGTCTTGGAGCCTCTGGCCAGCTGCTCCTGGGAGCCTCCTGCTTCCTGTGCAGAGTGTGGGGAGGAGGGCGGGGAGCTGGGGATGCTGATGTCAGAGTGTCCCCCTCCCTTATACCCCATCTCCGTGGGGGTGGGGAGACACGACAGGGCTCAGGAGTGGGGTGTGGGATGGAGCTTGCTGGCAGCTGCTGCTGTGTCTGAACAAGTAGGCTTCAGACTGGTGAGTGCCAATCTACTTAAAGGGGCAGCATACTTAATGGGGAAGCGCATCTCTCTCTCTCTCACACACACACACACACACACACACACACACACACACACACACTGTGTGTCTCTGTCTCACACACACTCTGTCTTTCACACTGACCTCCCAACACATACTTGTATTATTATTGTTGTTGTTGTTGTTACTTCTTGGTACAATACTCCCTGCAATGCACATATATTCTCTGTAATTTTATTCTTTCAAAGTGCTGTTATTTCAGTTTTTTGACTGGTCTATGCATTTCATAATTTTTATTTCTCTCTTACACTCAAATTTAATTCTTTGAGTAGTGAGTTCTAAAATGCCTAACATGTCCTGGCTGGAGTAATTATCCCTATGGTAACTTTTAAAAAATATATATTATATCTAGTTTTTTTGTTTCTATGGGTGGTGCACATCTGTACATTACCTCGATATTGGTGCACATAACAAAATTCGTTTCACACATGGATGGAAAAAATTAGAGGGAACATTGGCAGTGTAATACTGTTGCAAAGAAAGTAAACATCTTTTTGGGATGTATTAGCAGGAGTGTTGTAAGCAAGACATGAGAAGTAATTCTTCTGCTCTACTCCTCGTTGATTAGGCCTCAACAGGAGAATTGTGTCTAGTTCTGGGCACCACATTTCAGGAGCAATGTGGATAAATTGGAGAAAGTCCAGAGAAGAGCAACAAAAATGATTAAAGGTCTAGAAAACATGACCTATGAGGGAAGACTGAAAAAATTGGGTTTGTTTAGTCTGGAGAAGAGAACACTGAGAAGGGACGTAACAGTTTTCATGTACCTAAAAGGTTATTACAAGGAGGAAGGAGAAAAATTGTTCTCCTTAACCTCTGAGAATAGGACAAGAAGCAATGGGCTTAAATTGCAACAAGGGAAGTTTAGATTGGACAGTAGGAAAAACTTCCTACCTGTCAGGATGAGTAAGCACTGGAATAAATTGCCTAGGGAGGTTGTAGAATCTCCATCATTGTAGATTTTTAAGAGCAGGTTGGACAAACACCTGTCAGGGATGGTCTAAATAATCCTTAGTTCTGCCATGCGTGCAGGGGACTGGGGACTGGATGACCTCTCGGGGTTCCTTCCAGTCCTGTGATTCTATGAAGTGGGCAGTGAAGGCCTATATCATGGGCCAGTTGGAGGCAGGAGTCCATTTCAATCAGTGGCTGAATGTGTCCTCCCCTGCTCATACTGTGAATTTATAATGATGCCTGGAAATCACACACATGTGGCATGAGTCCCTCTAATTCTATCCAGATATTTTAAAGCGGAGTGCTTCTTCCTAGATCTTTTTTGCAGATCACACAAGCTAATATAATAAATACTGCATTCCAATTATATTTTTCGATAATCTTAGATCACTTTGGATCGTCCTTATCAGCACCTTTACCTTCATTCCCAGCAACTGCCAAAAGCATAAAGTGGAGTACTGATAGCTGCAAACTCCTCCCTTTCTTGTCTTTTCCTTTTAAACGGTGGGCACTAAGGCCATCTACACTGCAGCTGGGAGTGAGCCTCCCAGTGTGGGTTAACAGACTTGCAAGAGCTTTGCTCAAGCTAGCATGCCAAAACTAGCAGACAGGCTGTTATGGCTAGCCCCAGACTCAGAGCCAGGGGTCAGGCGGGCTTGGACTTGAGTTGCTAGCCTGAGCTGCCACTTGTGCTACATCATCTGTGCTGCTATTGTTAGCGCCCTAGCTCCAGCTGAGTTACCCCATCTACCTACCTACTCTGGGACACTCGCTCCCAGCTGCACTGCAGACATCACCCCTCTGACCTGAAGAGGCCTGTGTTTGCTCCACGCTTCACACGTGTTCATCTTGGTGCAACAACTACTTCTACCCGAGCTGCAGGATTGGTCATGCCCGAGCCCTCCTCATCCTAACCAGTGGATCCATGAATCTTCTGTGCTTGTAGCTCCTGAAAAACCTGCAATTCCTTCCCTAAAGGCAGCCAGATCCCTTTGTCAGCCTGAACTGATATTGTGACTCATAGTGCATTGGAATCCAATAGTACATTTCCCGTACCACCACGAATGACCACTGATCAGTAGACTGTGGGAGCCCAGTAGATAGGAGTTCTTTTACTGTGTGCATGCCTGTGTGTGTACTCACTTAGTTTCTTCCAAATGAATATTTCAAACAGGTTTACAATCATTAATTTAATCTCTCGGTACCTTGTGAGATAGGTAAGTATTTGATAGTGTCTACTTTACAGATAGAGAAACTGTGGCATGGAAAAATTAAGTGATTTCATTTGCCCAAGCCCACACAGGAAGTCTGCAGAGATAGGAACAGGAGCCAAATCTTCCTGTCTCAGTATGGCTTCCATGCCTTAACCACAAGACCAGGCTTCCTCATTGTACTTCCCACAGAAGATATTACAAAGGGGATGCCAGGCTCAGCTGACACAAATGGGGGTCCTAGCAGGCTAGTATAGACTCACTGTCCCCACAATTTCCCTTGTGATGTTGGACTATTTGCTGCCTATGTGTGGTCAAGAGCATCCCTTGATGTTCTCCAGCTCTACCCTATATGTGGTTGAATGGAGAAATGTTGACCATTGACAGCTTTAGTGTCCAGCTACCTTCCAGACCACTACAGTGCATCCTACCTCCACAGTTAAGATTGCTTCCCTTTGTTGACTCTATGGTTTAGCCAAGAGAGTACTGGCTGGGTAGCTTGTATGAGTCAATCCAGATGTGTTGTCTATTCTGAAGTATTCACAAGCCAATAACAACAACAAAAAAGTGTTCCCCTCTTTGTTCCCCTTCCCTTTAGTTTTTATAAGAAACATAAAAGCCCAGTTTAAGTATTGGGTATTGCCAGTGATTCTGTAATACTCACTTTATAATCCCACTAATCTTGTCTGTGTTAAATATAACATTTTGAATAAACATTTAATAAGACCAGAGTCTATTATTGTCTTCCTTTTTACATTCTATTCTGTTTCACTTAACTTGCTAACCATTTCGTCCAAGTTTTTTATTCAGCAGATTTATCCTTGGATATAGATTTAGTATTATACAGCATTCAGAGGATTTGAGGTGAGGAGTGAAATCCTGGCCCCATTCAAGTCAATTGCAAAACTCCCATTGACTTAATTGGGGCAGGATTTCACACTAGAAGTATATACCAAAAGATTATCAGTGTTGCTGTTTTGTTTCTCTGACCCTGGTGATGATGATTTGCTTTTCTTGGATTAAAGAATAAATCCATACCCAGATCATACCAACAAGATAGGTTTTACCGGCAATGAATGCTAACTTAGCAGTTCACCTGGAGTAACTGAGTTACCTTTTGCAATTCATTTTGTTGGTAGCTCCTTTTTCATTCTTTTTGCTCATTATTCTTTACTTCTGCTAGTTTGAAAATTGATCTTTCCTTTCCCCCCTTTTCTTTTATAGGTTGCATTTTGATTATCAACTAGAACTCAATATCTAGGTTCACTTAGAGAGGGAGCATTTGCTCTCTTTTCTTCCTATTTTTAAAAAAAAACCTATTTGCTTTGTCTTCTCTGTTTCTATTAAAATGCCTTAAACTGCAGAAAGTTTCTACAGAGCACTGTATGAGCATACAGCACTTTTAGATTTGTACAGCCCAAAAGCCCATATCAATTCAGCAGAGAATAAGGACATTATTATTTCAATTTTGTTCATATCCAAAAAGAGAATCTCATTATTTCTTAAGCTTGAAGAATGTTTTCACCATGACCATAAGTATAGACTCTTTAGTGGATCTTATTAAGGGAACCCCAATTCAACCTGTGTCTTGTAGGATAAACATAACAGGAAAGTTAAGGTTGTCCTGTTATTATAATTGTCAACTTTGTTTTTAAGGCAATAGTAACCAAGAATATTTTTCCTATTTACAGAGCAAGCTTTACATGGAAGGATTTAGAAGCCTAAAAGAAGGAGAACCAGTGGAATTTACTTTTAAGAAATCTTCCAAAGGCCTTGAATCAATACGGGTAACAGGCCCTGGTGGGAGCCCCTGTTTAGGAAGTGAGAGACGACCCAAAGGGAAGACAGTACAGAAAAGAAAACCAAAGGGAGATAGGTAATTACTTTACTTCGTTACTCTCCTCCCCTCCATCCCACCTTCTTTGCGAGTTTTTCTGAATGTTGTATTTTCAGTACTCATTCATATGTGACAGGAAACCCTTTTGTGCAAGTTTGGTTTGTACAAGTTGCCTACTACTTTGATTAGATATCCTGATCTGTATATGTAGAAATACATTTTGCTCATTTGATCGCTTTCATTTTTAAAATCCTTGCATACTGAGTTGGGGAGAGCTTGCAAAGGAATGTTAAGGTTATATTGAAAATATTGTGATTAGACTAAAAAGAGAGGTCACACTGAAGACAGGTGAAGCGATGTAACGCTCAGTTGAGATAAGAGCATGCAGAAATGAATGCATGCATGCATTTGTTACATGGATATCTTTAGTACTGTACATCTGAAGAAGAAGACATTTTGTGCAATTTAGGTTGAAAAGCTAATGTTAACTTGGTATATAAATTGGTTAGTTATATTTTCACTTAATGAACAAAGTTCTGGGTGCTTCCAAATGCCTTAATTTTTGATGGTCTGCAGAACAGCTCATGGTTTTTTAAAGTAATTTTACAGATTATGGGCCAAATCCCAGAGCTGCACTCATTCACATCAGCTCAGGATCTCACCCTTTATCTATCCACTCCCAGTTCAACTCTACATCTAATGGTCTAAAGAAGTTTCATGATGCTTTTGACTATGCCGCTATAAAGACTGTACTTTAGTCCAGGGGGTATTTTCCACTCAAAAGCTGCTGTATGATGTGAATTTCAATGGCACCTAAGTCTCCATATGTCATAAATATAAAGGGAAGGGTAAACACCTTTAAATCCCTCCTGGCCAGAGGAAATACCCTTTCACCTGTAAAGGGTTAAGAAGCTAGGATAATCTCGCTGGCACCTGACCAAAATGACCAATGAGGAGACAAGATATTTTCAAAGCTGTGGGGGTGGGGGGGGGGGAGGAAACAAAGGTTCTCTCTGTCTGTGTGATGCTTTTGCTGGGACCAGAGCAGGAATGCAGGTCAGAACTCCTGTAAAAAGTCAGTAAGCAATCTAGTTAGATATGCGTTAGATTCTGTTTTGTTTAAATGGCTGATAAAATAAGCTGTGCTGAATGGAATGTATATTCCTGTTTTTGTGTCTTTTTGTAACTTAAGGTTTTGCCTAGAGGGATTCTCTAAGTTTTGAATCTGATTACCCTGTAAGGTATTTACCATCCTGATTTTACAGAGGTGATTCTTTTACTTCAATTAAAACTCTTCTTTTAAGACCCTGATTGCTTTTTCATTGTTCTTAAGATCCAAGGGTTTGGGTCTGTGTTCACCTATGCAAATTGGTGAGGATTTTTATCAAGCCTTCCCCAAGAAAGAGGGTGTAGGGTTTGGGAGGATTTTGGGGGGAAAGACGTTTCCAAGCGGGCTCTTTCCCTGTTATATATTTGTTAGACGCTTGGTGGTGGCAGCAATAAAGTGTAAGGGCAAAAGGTAAAATAGTTTGTACCTTGGGGAAGTTTTAACCTAAGCTGGTAAAAATAAGCTTAGGGGGTTTTCATGCAGGTCCCCACTTCTGTACCCTAGAGTTCAGAGTGGGGAAGGAACCCTGACACCATACTTTCCGCAGCTTTGCCCAGCATGATAGCCATGGCAATGTGGATCAAGAAAAGGACACCTTGTGAAGCACTGATCATGCTTAGTGCCTCCCCGAATGTCCAGACTTGAGTATTCCAACAGCCAGCCTTTACCCTGAGGTATTCAACCAAGGAAGAAAACTTACAGGGATAGCATGGCTCACAGATGATGTGAGTTCTGGAACAAAGTACAGTTTTGCAAAGAAAAGGGTACCAAAGCATCCCCCCAGGAGGAGGAAAGATCTCCCTTACCCATCCTCTATCTCTTCAGCCTACTGTGGTAGTGTCTCAAAGCCAAAATCAAGATGAGGATGCTGCTCTGCTATGTGCTGTACATACATGTAGCGAGAGACACTGCCTGCCTCAAAAGAGCTTAACATCTAAATGCACAAGACACACGAAGGCTGGGAGAAAGGAAATATTACATCCCCATTTTACAGGTCAGAAACTGGGGCAGAGATACAAAATCAATGACTTGCCCATGGTAACACAAAAAGTGTGTGGCAGAGTTGGGAATTGAGCCCCAATGTCCTGAGTACCAGTGCAGCGCCTTAGCCACAAGACTGCACTGCCTCTTTGTGCTTAGTGTCTACTTGAAGTTGATTATTTTTGAGAAGGTTGAAGACAAAACCTTTAAACTGATTGTGAATTAGGGAGGGTGAAAAAAATAAACACTTTTCTGTTCTTAGAATTCTAACTACTCTAAAATGTCTGAAGTTTAAAATTTGGAACTAGGCATCAGTAATGAGAAGGGTCTGTCAATAATTCCAGCTCTTAGCTGTAACCAAAATTTAAAAAGAGAGCAAAATACTTAGTACACTCCTAATGAAATCCAGGAATCTCAGCGCAGTCACCTCTGGGTGGGAGCAGGAGGAGAGCACTGTCTTTGTTAAATATAAAAGACTGCCCCTTAAACAAGTTTAATGCAAGTTTAATTCTTGGTGGTATGGTTAAATAACAAAATACTAATCTCATCAACTGTCATTTGGGACTGCTTTTTATCTGAGGCCTGGTCTACACCTACAAATTAGATCGAACTAACTACATAGCTCAGAGGTGTGAAAAATTTTGCACCCTGTGCATCATAGTTAGGTTCACCTAATACCCACTGTAGACACAGCTAGGTCAACAGAAGAATTCTTCCAAACTACCACCTCTTGGAGAGGTGGATTAACTACACTGACTGAAACCCCCTTTTTGTCAATGTAGGAAGTATCTGCATGAAAGTGCTACACTGGCACAGTTGCAGTGTTAGACATACCCCGAGTCAGAGATCAGTTTAAAAAGTCTCTGGAGATTTAATATTGGAATCTGAGGAACAATCTGCAGCTGAGGATCCTACGGTGATGGTCACTAACAGCCCACAGTCTGGTCAGTCAGCTGAGGTAAAATTGAGGTATCTGGTGTGAGGTACGCAAAGGTGAGGGTAGAATGGTATTGCTGACGGGACTTGTGTCAAACTGCTGCTTGTGCAAGGTCATATAACTAGCTGCACTGGGCAGGTAATTAAAAAAAAATGTTCCATGATACAGGGTCTGGTAATTTCAAATTCCACCCCGTGAATAAATCATTCTCAAGGGGGTTAATTTAATGTTTTATTTGTTAGGAAAGCTGTCTCAAATTTAGAGGGATTTGGGGGGAATAGGGGTGGCAGATGGAGGGGCAGAGAGAGATGAGCAAGGATAGAGATGTTGGAATGAGAACTTGAAAGGGAGGGCATGTGATGGGGCAGGAGGAGCAGATGGAACCACATTTGGAAAGTTGATGGGTGGAAGTCTGGTAGAGAAAGGAACATAGGATGGTCATTTGATCAATGGAGGAAAGAACTGGCAGAGAGAGCTTAAAGAAGGCACCCAGTGGTTGGGCCATGTGGGTGACATGGGAGGGAACAAACATCGAGAAACGTCTTGGAGAAAAGGATGGGAGACCTGTATCCTTTTGTTGTGACAATGCACAGTCAACCTGTGGAACTCATTGCCAGGATGTTGTGAAAGCCAAAAATATAACTGGATTCGAAAGAGAATGAGATAAGTTCATGGAGGATAGGTCCATCAATAGCTATTAGCTAGCCTGGTCAGGGACACAACCCCATGCTCTGAATATCCCTAAGCCTCTCACTGCCAGAAGCTGGGACTGGACGACAGGGGATGGATCACTCGATAATTGCCCTGTTCTGTTCATTCCCTCTGGGGCACCTGGCATTAGCCATTGTTGGAAGACAGGATACTGGACTAGATGAACCATTGGTCTGACCCAGTATGGCCATTCTTATGTTCTTATGACATGGTACCAGCACCTCACTGACAAGAGGTTAATGTTTCCTACAGCCCTATAAGGTTGATAGCATTTACAGTTCTGCCATTTTGCAGAAAAGGAAAGACAGAGAAGTTTAGTAACGTAGTTATTGCAGGCTCCATGTCGTTTGCTCAATCCACTTGAACACACTGTCTCTCAAAAGAAACTCATAAATCTGTATCCTAAAAATAAAAAATTTGATCTTTTCTTTTCCCTAGGTCTCTTTTCCATGCTTGCTTTTAGATTTTGTGCATTTTTTCCTACCCTCTTATTTCTACTAATCTCTCTTTCCCCATTCTTTCTTTTCCTGCCCATTTCTCGCCAACTTTTCAATAGCCTTTTCTTTGTTTCCAGTCATCACCTTCTGTCTGAGGCCCCTCTCCAGTTGGGAAAGTCTCCTAAGACTTTCATATTGCCATTTTTTCCCTCTCAACGTCTAACTCCCAAAAGGCAACTATGACATATTATGGCAACTGTCCTTTCAGCCAGAAAGAATTGGGTGCAACTCTCTCCAGGGTTCTTTAATAGTGTTCCTTCTGAATGATTATTCACACTCTGTACAAAATGCTGTACAAGGAAACAATTATCAGGATGGTAGGCCAGAAGGATTGTTTAACTGTGATGTGAGCTCTATTGGTTCCTGACTGCACCGAGTCTCTGCTGACCATCCCATAATAAAGGACTCAACTAATAATGAGAGTTGTGCATTACAGGCAGAATTGGTAGCAATGCCTCCAGTTAAGGTTGCCTAACACTTTCCATTAATCCATTATTTTCAGTTCCTTATAACTTTGCTACACTTTAACCGTTTGAAATTAACTTTCAGAGGGGTAGCCGTGTTAGTCTGGATCTGTAAAAGCGGCAAAGAGTCCTGTGGCACCTTATAGACTAAAAGACGTATTGGAGCATAAGGCTTTCGTGGGTCAAAACCCACTTCGTCAGATGCACGTAGTGGAAATTTCCAGAGGCAGGTATAAATATGCAAGCAAGAATCAGGCTAGGGTTAAAGAGGTTAGTTCAATCAGGGAGGATGAGGCCCTCTTCTAGCAGTTGAGGTGTGAACACCTAGGGAGCAGAGGGGC